TTAGAATAAATTAATCTATGAGACCTTTTTATTATTTATATTTTTGTGTGCCAACAATACCAAGCGTGGGGCGCGAGTATACCCGATTCGATCATATCACTCATCCATCAGGATCTTTATCAACCTACCATCAAATTGAAATTCTTTTAGACAGGATTAAAGTAAATTAACCTATGAGACCTTGGGCGTGATAAAATACATCAATCTAAAGGGTTTGACCACCCGAGTCCAAAACTGTTAAGTAGAACTCAAATTGGTCAAAAGATGACGGAACTATGAGTTAAAAGTTTGTACTTGAAAAAACTCAGAGCCATTAGTATTAGACGTTATGCCGCGGCTAAAAAGTAACAATCCTTCAAAAGCATTTGTTTTAACCATGGAGCTAGTTAATAAATTTCCCTACAGGTTAAAATTAAATCCTCTACGGTATTTTTAGTTATGTTTTACTCACCACAGTGAACTTATATTTATATAGGGTTTTGAATAATATGTAGCATTTTTCGGAGGGGGTTACTGACGACGGGTGGAATTCCCCAAAAGCAATATAGTTCAGTGACAAGGGTGGTGAATCAAATGATAGATTGGGCTTTATATTCATAAACAGAATGCCGGCTAAGTCATTTAGTAGGATCAGTGCTACATTATTTTTAAAATCTTATGATTTACCCTTCTGACAACTCTCAAAGCTTCACTTCCTCTTGTATTTATAATCTACTCCTCGAATTTACTAGAAAATCTGAAGTAATATTCTTAGTACTTTCTAGGCCTACGTTATTAGTATCATACACCTTCTAAATAACATCTAAATTATAACATCAAAAGTATACTTTATAATACTATTCATTTGCAGTCATGTACAATTTTATTTCCCCGATATTCACTTGTTTAAATGTTTTTCAAGCCTTGACTATTTTTATTGAGAACTTATTTTACATTATATCAAAACCAACGAGATAAAAACATTATTTAAATGAAGATTAACTACGGTTAGAGAAGAGAATGCAAAATTGTAAAATACTTATATATATATATATACATAAATATATATTGTTACGTCTCTGATCTTTGTTAATTACCCGTAAAAATTATTTCCAAAAAACTTAGCGATACGAGTTCTTTCTTAATTAAAACTAGTTTATTATTTCTCAATTCAACTTTGCAATACACGCTATAATTCACAACGAACGATTCACGCACTTTATTCCGCGCTTGACTCAATTGTCCGTCCCTATCGCGTCAATCTGCAATTATTCATATCTATGCCGTCACTTCTCGCCGGTCTT